TAAGAAAACTAAGCTAGTAACTAGCATATTCCCCTCCTTGGTGAAAACTGCACATATGTCAGATATATGGCAACCCCAAATATCTTACCTAATAAAAGAGAAACATGTAAATTGACCGTCCCTCCACTATGCTCACCAGCCAATCAGGAGTGAGTGTGCAAATTAACTGAACAAAGATGTCGGATTAACGTGGATACACAGGTGCCGGGTGGAGAGCAGAGCAGGAGAGCTGGCAACTTGAGGGGATGTGGCTCCCTCAGTAGCTGGGCAGAGAGCAGAGCTTGAGAGCTGGAGGTTTGGGGGGCCATGGCTCCCTCAGTTGCTCCCAGTGTGAGGAACACCAGGAATTCTGGGAATCAGAGTTCTGGTGGCAGATGGATCTCCTAGACACTAGAGCAAAGTGAGCCTGGAGCAAATTACTGTCGCGGTGGAGGATGGAGGGAAAGCAAAGGTGAGAGACATAAGTAAAATCAGAGTGTCTAGGACAGGGGTGGGCAAACTTTTTGACTTGAGGGCCATAATGGGTTCTTAAACTGGACCAGAAGGCTGGAACAAAAGCATGGATGGAGTGTTTGTGTGAACTAATATAAATTCAAAGTAAACATCATTACATAAAAGGGTACGGTCTTTTTTTTTCATTAGTTTTATTCATTTCAAACGGGCTGGATCCGGCCCACAGGCCGTAGTTTGCCCACGGCTGGTTTAGGGAAAATTAAAGGGAAGATATCCTAAAACTTCCAGGAAATCTCCACCCATGCAGCAAAGAAAAAAAAACTGTCTCTATTATTCTGTGAGCAACAAACCAAACTGGTTGGGGGTCTCAGACAATTCACATATGATTTCAAAGACAGACAGAAACTCCTGGATTGGAGAGGGCTCCCCTGAGGGCTCCCAGATTGGAGAGGTTGCAGGTCGGGCTGAGGGACACCCCCCACCCATGCACAAATCTTCATGCACTGGGCCCCTAGTATGATATAAAATGAAGTCACAGGAGAGAGCAACTAGTGCCTTGGGAGAATCAATAAGATTTTTGAACAGATTCTGATTAGAGATCTTTTTAGCAAGAAATCATGCCCAGCAACAAGAACCAAGAGGATGCCAACAGAATTCAGATTCCTCAGTCCCAATTTTATTATATAGAATTGTACTCTTTTATGTACTTTCTGGCAAGAGCCATATTTTATAGCTGAGTTTTATATTCCTAAAGATGGAGAAAATGCAAGGAAATGTTGACTTGATATCTTAGGGCAAGAAAGGGTACAGCTACAACTATTGAAACCCCAGTGGTAGGGAAATGTTGCAATTCAGTTGTTTTCTTCATCCTTTAATTACCGTATTTGTGAGATCTCTAATATGCCATGTCACAACATTGTCATGTAGGGTTCTCACATAATTAGCCCCCAAACATTTATGAGAGTGAAATGACTGAGAGCTATTAAAAACTACAAGGACAGGCAGTTGGGGGTAGAAGGATAGAGGGGATCAATGGGGAAAAAGAGGGGACAGCTGTAATACTTTCAAGGTAAATTTAAAAGAATAAAAGAACTACAAGGACAACTAGAACAAGCCAGGACTCTTTGGGGCAAATTGAGACCTGCAGTCTCCCTATTGCCTTATGTTTCAATTCTTGTTTTATAAAGATGTTTACTTTAAATATTGTTTCATTGTCCCTTATTTTAGATTCATCTCAATTACCATTTGCTCTGACTTATTCTTTAATTTGGGTTTTAAGCAACGTCTCATCATTAATTAGCTATGTGACTTTAAGATATTTTAAAAGGAGTTTCTTTGAGTCTTAGTTTCCTAACCTGAGGATTATTAGGGCATATATGGAGCCTAGTTTATCTTCTCTGAAAAAAAGTGCCTTCCCTTAATTAGAGAGAGAAAAGATCTGTATTTATCAAGCCCTCAAAGATAGTTGGGAGAGCAGATTTGAGAGTATTATAAATCTGTTTTTTTTTTAATCTTTTCAGTCTCACAGTCTATTCTACAGTTCCTTTATGTTTTGTTATATACAATGTCCATATTGTGAGAGGATATTTCTTCTACATTGTTCTGATTTTTTAGGTGCTACCTTCTACTAATTTCCCCACTAAGGACCTATCTGGATCTTTCTAGGTATGGTGGCAGTTTTGAGTTTTGGAAAACGCTACAGGGTTTTAAGGCATGGTTTATTGTGCCTTGAAAACCAAAATCTTTGTTTCTCTTTCAAGAAACTGCCAATTATTTCCTCTTTTTGAAACTCTCTGATCACAGGCCTTCTATACCACTGCAATATCTTCATCCTCCATGTATGTCTCTAAACGATCCTTTCCTCCTCTTCCTCCTCCTTTTTCTCTTCTTCCTCCTCCTCTTTCTTCTTGGACTTGTGCTCCTCTGGCCAACCTTTAACCCTTGGTACCTGACAGGGTCCACTTTGGCTTTTTGCTCTTTCTACCTGCACAGCCTCCGTGGTGACCTCATTCATCCACTGTCGTGATTTCAAGGAACACCTCTCAAATCTGTACACCTCTAGCCAACAACATTCCTGTTTAATAAGGTGGGGAGAGGGAACAAGTGGGCAGTAGAATACTGGCTCCTCTGTGCAGATGGAGGCAGGGAGTGTAATGGACCATGGCATGCTAACGATTGCTGACTAAGCACATATGTATGTGCGTTTGAATAGGACATTACTCTCTTTGGTTTACTGGTCAATTAATCTTTTATATTGTTTTGTAAGAGACATCTTTATGTGAATGTACCCTTTCCCTGCAGGTGATTGCACCCCCTCTTTAAAAAAAAAAGGAAAACAAAAACCCCTGAACATGGAACCCTTTCAGCCATAACTATAATGCAAGTGTTTTTTAAAGCAGCCCTCTTGGGTTTTTTTGAAAAGAAAAATAATGGACTCAGTACTCTGCTTTCTTTCTTGTGGTTGTTTGTACTTTGTAGTTTATATATCAGCAACAGCTGGTTGCTGAAGCTCCAAGGAAAACTTCTCTCAAAATAGTTTTGTTGCAAAGAGAAAATGGCATTCGTGAACTTTGGCAGGAACTGTACTCTTGAGCTATGTTCAATTTTGAAACTTGAAAAACCTACTGCATGGAGAAGCCAGCCACACAGGATCCTGAGCTGGCCTATTGTTACAAGAGGAAAGTGGTATCAGTGATGCACAGAGCTCCTGAGACCTCTGAGAACTTGTGCACAAGGTGTCCGGCAGGGGGCGTAGGCGAGGCCCACTTAGATGGGGCACCTTACCACAGAACTACATGTGAGCTAGGAAGAGGCAAAGCAGGAAACCTGTTACTCTGCAAAGCGTCTTTCCATGACCCGAGTTTGGCTCTGCATTAGCTGACTTAGGTGACAGCATCACAGATCTTCAAAAATGACTTTGTTTTCCTCATTAAATCATAATTCATATAATTTGGGAGTCCTTTATAATTAAGGTGGAAGATAGGTCTAACCAGCCTTACTCAGGTCTCCAGGGCAGTGCCCTAGTATCCCAGCCCCCTTACCTTTCAAGTCAGTGTTTCTCTGTTCTCAGTACTGTCGTGGGGCAGGGGCGTCTTGTTCCGCTTAGCCCTTTCAGCTGACCACGTCTGAATCACAGTAGCTGGTTTAAAGCCTTCTACCTCAGGAGCAATCACTGTTGTTAAACGAATATCTGGCCTCATCAGTACTTATTGCTTAACAATTAAGTTGCCTCAAAACAACTGGTCAAAGTCTGTTTTCCTATCCAGCTGCTTCTGTGGTATGTGAGTCTGTCCCAACATGCCACAGCTAAGACCCCTATGTCATGGCTAGGACCTCTTTGTCATGGTCCACACTACTAGAGATCCAATGTAGACAGAAGAGCCCCTATGGTGTGTGGGTGCTGCTCGTGGGCCAGAGACCCTCCCACAGAAGCCAGAAGCCGTCTCTGAAAACCTTGTCCAAAGCCTTCCGACAACAGCTGTCTTGGAGGGATGTGTGTCCTAATAAGCCTGAGCCACTGTGTTGAGCACCTCTTTTAGTTTCTCACAGAAACTGTTGCTTTGGGAGTGTTGGACAGGACGAATTCTGGAGTCCCCTCTCCCATGGCATCTGGCATTTTGTAGTTCTTTTCTTTCACTCATTCCAATTGCCGGCAGAGGCAGCTCTCAGCCCCTTCTCCCTTTATCTCCTGGAGATCGTTTCTCTTGTCACTTGGCCTGAATTGGAACTACCCTAGGTCACCGCAATAGAACTCAGGTCCAACCACCAGGAAGAAGAGGTCAGGGAATTTATCTGTGATCCTCCTTCCTGGCTGAAAATTTCTCCTTTTCCTTCTTTGAATTTCTCATAGCAAGAGGACTGCTGATTTCATGTCAAACTAACGGCCCTGTCTCATCATTTCTCCCAGAAAGGACTAACAAGGGCCACTCGGGTTCAAGGTAGCCAATCTCTATAGACAACTGGCAGCTTTTTCTGCCTGAGCGGGAGCAGGCTATCTGAAATCACTTAACTATAGTGCACACAGCTATACATTAAAGTATTTTATTATGCTTCATGAGACATAAAAAGGGGATTAGATCCAATATTCCTTTATGCTGGAGACGAGTACTATGGTCTACTGAGAGGTATTAATCCCTCTTTTTCTGGGCGGGGGGTGTCTAAAAATGGAACAAAATCTTATCAGTCTGGAACAGTTTTAATAGGGTTCTCTCATAGGGCAAGTGAATGGATGACATCAAAGCTTCTGGGTTCTTGTAATCAAGTGTCTTGCTTTTTAAAGACTGGCTATTGGTTGGGCTTGGGTTTGGAATCAGGACATTTGGGTATATGAGCTCACAAGATTGGTTTTGGATTCTGCTGCCTTATTTGGTCAGAGCAAATATAGTTATGTAAAGGAATCCTTCATAAATTGGTGGGAAAATTTTAACTTCTGCACCACTGTAATTACTCCTAATTTTATGAGATTCTGATCACCACCAAAATCATTGTAAGACTTTAGTCATGTTTAGTTTATTGCACAACGTTTATTGTTTGTCTTTATTTTTCAGCCTCCACCTCAGATATATGACAAACAGTTGGATGAAAGAGAACACACCATTGAAGAATGGAAAGGTGACTCTACTACTTAAATAAAGTATACATTTTACTTATTGAAACCCCAAAATATTCTGAGACCTTTTTCTTTTAAAACAACGTAGTAAGAGAGGATTTTCTATTGCTACCCTCTTACACCATTTTCAGAGCTCCTAAAACTAAATCTATCCTTTCATATTACTAGTAATACTTCATTTACTCAAGAATGAAAGGAATTAAATACTGACACTTTTCAAAATAGTACTGATTATCAAGGTATTAGCCATGGTGGAGGGAAAACTTCAGTTTAACATTTCACAATTAAACTTGTTCTGTTTGTATATAAAATTATACAAATGGATAAAATCACATCTGAGATGATTTACACATTAGAAAATAAAAGATAATATATTGATTCATTCACTTGATATATATAGCACTTGAGTATTTAAATAAAAAAATACACTAAGTAGCTTATTTTCTTTAAAGTTAGAAAGAATGAATGAATACGTTAATTCATTTTTTCCCAAACACACTGTATGATTGAGATTCTACTTAGACAGAAACTTTATATAAAGAATAGTTAATCTAATATAACTAATTACAGAGTAGAATAAATATGAGAAAACCAAATACAGATTAAATGAGATCAAAATTAGGGGGAACATAAGTGGAAGGTCTAAATGGAAGAAATGTTTGTGCCACATTGAATAAGTTAATTCTTATAATTAATAATTAAGAAAATGAGCAAAAAAAAAAACACAGAGGAAAATGCTAAATGGGGGCCTAAGAGGAAAACAAAGGGTAGATATGAGCAAAAAGTATCGTAAAGATCATAAAGAGACTCCACTGGTCAAGAAGTCGTGTTGCAGAATATGGAAAATGAGCATCCTCCTTCCTTTCTGCTATTGCAAAAAAAATGTAGAAATAAAACAGTGGATGAAGTAAAAAAAAAAAATATTAGATGATAGATGGAAAAGACTTCGTTTGATCTAAATAAGGACCAGAAGGCACTCTTAGGGGTTTGTGTTGAGTAAGTAAGTGAAAGGATATAAATATCACTTAAGAAGATAGACATGGACTAAAATGTGACAAACTGGGGAAGAAAATACGTGCAAAAGCATAAAAGCTATAAGCCATGTTAAAGCAGGGAGGAGTAGCACTGAGTGATTGTTAGTTAGAAGGGGCAAAGTAAAACAAAATGAAAATATACAAGTTTAACTCTAGTAAAAAAAAGCCAAAAATAGATGCCAGTTTGGGAATAAATGTAGTAACTTTTAATGTTGGATTTTAGGCAAGTTTGGTTTGACAATTCCAAGAGTTGAGTCTGGAAAAAAGGTAAAGTAAGAGTTAAAAAAATTGATAGAAACTAATGGTTTGAAGTCATGAGAATGTTATTTATACATAAATATAGTGATTTATTTACAAGAATAGCATGACACCCCTTAAGAAGAGAGTAGAAAAGAAAAATGCATGTTCAAAACTGAACCATAAAAATCCTTAAGAGATAAGTTAGAATGTGTTAGGAATCTCCCAAAGAATTCAGAAAACAATTAAAATGTGTATTCCTCATACATTTTTTTGGCCAAATGCTTTATTGAGCAACTACTTTTACCCGGCTCTGTGCTATTGCAAGAAAATGTAGAATTAGAGGAGTAAAGGACTCCCGATTGTGTTCTAGTTTACTCAACCCCATCAAAATGTTATTTGTCATTAAATAAGGAATTTTATTTGGGGACTAAGAAGAAATTTATTTTTTAATAACACTAATAATTGTTTCTTACAGAACTTATCTATAAAGAAGTAATGAATTCAGAAGAAAAGACTAAAAATGGTGTCGTAAAAGGACAACCTTCTCCTTCAGGTACTCACTCTCAGTGAATAACCAATAAACCAGTACTTGTGTATTTCTCTTGGCCTTGAGCAGGAATTGCGACCAATAATATTGCTCATAGCACATATGAACAAATACCATGTGACTGTTGTCCTTTAACAAATTCAGTTTTACTCCCCCCACCTTTTGTTAGCTAGAAGAGGCAAAATAAAACAAAATGAAAACATACAAGTTCAACTTCAGTAATGATAAGCCTAAAATGAATGCCAGCTTGGGAATACATGAAATAATTTTTTAACGTTGGTTTTTAGGAAAGTTTGGTTTTACAGATTCAAGAGTTGAATCTAGAAAAAAGATGAAGAGTTGACACATTTATGGGAAATAATAGTTTGAAGTTCAGCATGGCATTCTGATTATGCAGATTATGAAGACCCAGCACAGGAGATCTTTTAGAACTTATTTTAAGATATTAACGAGTCTTTCAGAAATGTTAACACGAGCTGCTTCAAAGGTAACTGCTACTCATCCCAATGCAGAGCTGTAATGCCCTCTCTACCACCAAGTCAAAAGAGAGGTTAGGAAACTCGGCAGCCCGAACCTCTTTCCTCATTCACTCCAGTGTGTGAACTCTTCACAGGGTTGGTGTGACAGTAGTTGAAGCATCAGCCAAGATGCGCACCAATTAACGTCAGCATGGAAAATCTTCCAGTTTGTGATAGACAGATTTGTGCATATGCATATCTTGCTCTGTAGAATGCTTTGGGATTACTCGAGATAATTTACTTACACTTATTAATGCTAATATATTTTTTCTAAGATCTATGTTCTGAATATAAAGAGAATATAGAAAGAGTTCTAGAAAATGTAATGGCTGCCCTGGCCAGTGTGGTTCAGTGGTTGAAAGTTATCCTGTGCACGAAGAATTCGCTGGTTTGATTCCTAGTTGGGGCACATGCCCAGGTTGTGGCACATCTCCTGCTAGGGATATGCAAGAGGTAGCCGATCCATGTTTCTCTATCTATCCCTCTTCCTTCCTCTCTCTCTAAAAAATCAATAAAAACATAAAAAAAGAAGATATATGGCTTATACTCAGCTCACGCTGGGAAGAATATAGGCTGCAAATGATTAGTTTAAAAAAATAGATTTGGTTTTCTACCTTTGACAAGCAATTTTTCCCC